TGCCTTGCTCTTCTTGCCCCAAATTAATTTTGCTATTCTGTATCTCATTTCCATATGAATTTTATGCTTGCTTTTCTGATTTGGTAATTCACCACTATAAATTGATAAGATTATATAGTGCGTCCAAAAGATGAGAAGTATAAAACGAAAGAGGCCTTTATTCTGAGAACGCCGAGAGAGAACCCCCCCCCCCCCCACCGCTGGAGTCTGGCTTTCTCTCTGGCAGACATGTGGGGGGGGGGCGTAATATAAGTAGCCTAAGCTTAAGGTGGTGCCCTAGGGCCATTAGAGATGCACAGGTATTTCATTGGCACTGGTTTGGCGCTAGGGGCAAATTCCTAAGGGTGGGGAAGATAATGCCATAGGTAAATTACTGGGGGTTGGGGAGATAGGAGCTCCTTGGTTCCGCTTGAGGCTTCATGGGCTACGGTGTCCTGTCTGGGCCAATACTCTTTCATAAATTTTCCTTGCAGGACTGCTTTCATTGTATCTCATACTGTAATGGCAGTAGTGCTTAATTGTAAAAAATGTCGAATTTCATCTGTGATCCATTGATTGTTCAGGAAGTGTTACTTAATTTCCATGTGTTTCTGTAGTTTTTGTGTTCTCTTTTAAGGCATTGATTTCCAATTTCATTGCACTATGACCTGATAATATGCACGCATGGAATAATTTTGTTTACTTTGCATTTACTTAAGCATGTTCTGGGAGTCAGTGTGTGGTCTGGTTTTTTGTGTTTTTTTGTGTTTTTTTTTGAGATAGGGTCTTGCTAAGTAGCCCAGGCTCTCATCAAACTCATGGTGATCCTCCTGCATCAGCACCCTCCTGAATACTGGATTATAGGCATGCAGCATCACTGCCAGCACAGTATGAGGTCTCTTGGAGGCAGTCCCATGTGCTGCTGAGAAGAATGTGTATACTGTTGTTGCTGTGTGGAATACTCTGTCGCTATCTGCCAAGTCTATTTGTTCAAAGGTTTAATTGACCTCTGATATTTCTTTGATTTCGGGGGTCTGGTTGATCCATTTGTAACAGTGGAGTATTGAAGTCCCATATCGTAACTATATAGTACTTACCTGATTTTTCATATCTGTTATTGTTTTATGTAGTTGGATTGCCAATATTTGGTGCATATATATTTATGATTGTTATCTCTTCTCTTAGTGTGTTAACAAATGTCAGGACCTTCTTGTGTCTTCTGTTGAGTCTTGGCTTGAAACCCACTTTGTCTGCAAATAGGACGACTACCCCTGATTTTTTCCTGCTTCTCGTTGCATGAAGGGTTGTTTTCCATCCTTTGGCTTGCAGTTATTTCTTTTTGAGTTAAATGTGTTCCTCGTGTGCAGCATATGATTGGATCTTGTTTCTTGATCCATTCTGCTAATCTGTTTCCTTTAATTGGTGAATTGAATTAATTCATTCAGTTGATGACTTTCATTGATGGGTATAACTAAAAGATATTGACTTGTCCTTGTCAATGTATTACTTTTGATTCCTTTCTTTTTGCTTTTATTTAATTGCTTGCATTGCCTGGTGGGTCCATTCTACTGGAATTCTTGGAATTGTTGTCTTGATTGTCTTTTCCTAGAATATCCTTCAAAAAGTGCTGGTTTGGTGGTCATGAATTTCTTCATGAATGTTTTTTTTTTTTTTAATATCATGGAAGTGCCTGCCTCACTTCTCCATCAATATATATATATATATATATATATATATATTTTTTTTTTTTTTTTTGGTCTTTTTCCTTTTTATCGGTACTGGGGATCGAACTCACGACTGCCTGCTTGCAAGGCAGGTGCTTATGCCACTGAGCTAAATCCCCAGCCCCAACTTCTCCATCAATATTGAAAGATAAGTTTTTTGGGTTCATCAATCTGGGTTGAAGATTATTTTCTTTTAGAACTTGAAATACTTCAAGCTCTCCTTGACTTAATGGTTTAGGTTGAAAAGTCTGTTGTGAATCTGATGGGCTTTCCTATATTGGTGATTTGTTTCTTTTAACAGCTTTTGATATTCTGCTCTAGTGTTGAATTTCTGGAATACTTATATAGTTCTTTTTCTGCTCATAGCTAGTTGGAGTTCTGTGTGTCTTACTCATCTCTGTGTGAAATTCTTCATGCTTGGGAAGTTTTCTACTATGACTTTTTTTTTTGGTACTGCGGATTGAACTCATGACCTCTCACTTGTCAGGCAGGTGCTTGTGTTGCTGAGCTATATATATCCCTGGCTTTTCTGCTATTACTTCTTTTTTAAATTATTATTATTATTATTATCTTGCTATTACTTCTATGGACAGGCTTTTAAATGTCCTTTGTGCTATCTTCTGATTTTTTCATTGACTCCAACTAATTTTATGTTCTTCTTTGCGTCATGTATTAGCTGTGGGATTGATTTTTTGTGGTCCTTGGTTTTTTTTTTTTTTTTTTTGGTACCGGGGATCAAACTCACAACCCTGGGCTTGCAAAGCAGGTGCTTATGCTGCTGAGCTAAATCCCCAGCCTCTCCCTTGGTATTTTTAAGAAATTTTTCTTTTGCTGTTTGGCTGACCCCAACCCTGTCTTCTAGATCTGGTATTCTGTCTTCACACATTGATTAACTGTGCTGTGTATATTTTTTAGTTTCCTGGATATCTGTTTGAGTCTGTCTTGTGAAATGCAGTTCTTTCCTATGTTGGACACTCATGATTTTAATCACTTTCTAAGCACTTCTGCTTTTTTGTTTTTAAAATCTGTATCTGCTCTAGGTTCATAGCCATGTCCTTCACTGTGGTCATTGTCTCCTTTGTCTGTGAAATTATTTGTTTTTTTCTAGAGTCTTTCGTCTGCCTTACTAGTTTTGCTGCTGAAAGTTCTGCTGGGTGGCTTTTGATTTCTCCTCTCAGTGCCCCTGGATTTGCCATGGCTGAGCTGGAGGGTCTGGGGTTGCATCTTGCTTCTTTGCTTTCTCACTTTAAAAATTTTTTTTTTCCTGCGTTGATGTTTACAAATTGTTTGTGGTAGGTAGCTTTATTACTAGCATTGTGACCTAGCTCTAGATTCTTTTACAGAAATGTCCTCGAGGCATAGCTAGCTCTTGGCCTTTGAGTCTGTCCCAGCATCTGTCTCTTCTGTTTATTAGGAATGAGAGGTTGCACCCTGTTTGTCCTAGCATGCAGTTCTTTGGTACTCAACTGCAGAATTGTAGCATTGTTTTGGCATACAAAGAAGACCAGTTGATCACAGCAACTTGGCTGAAGTAGTACAGTCAGCAATAACAATAGCATCAAACATAGATTGGGAAGTGACAAGCTATGAAAGCTAGTAATTTGCTACTTTTAGCTGTAAGTACAAGATTTATAGTTATATAACAAGGTTTAAGACATATCAGAAAATTACATACAGTAGATTCCATTCAGTAGAGTAATTTTACCATAAGATGAGAAAATTAATAGAAGAAAAAATAGAAAAATAAAAGAAGCAGAATCGAGCGTGGTGGTGTACTCCTTAATCCCAATACTTGGGAGACTGAGACAGGAGGATCATTGCAAGTTCAAGACCAGCCTGAACTGCATAACGAGACCCTGTCTCAAAAAAACAAAACAAAACAAAACAAAAAAAAAAAAATAGAAGCAAAAGAAGTTGAAAGCGAGGTTGAAGGACAGAGGATTACCTAAGCTTGAGGAAACTGGTGAAGAAGGCAGGAGGGAGTGAAAAACAAAACCAGGGACAGAACAAAACAAAACAAGACTATAAAGTGTTCCTTCTCACAGAGAGAGAGAGAGAGAGAGAGAGAGAGAGAGAGAGAGAGAGAGAGAGAGAGATGTGTTTCTGAAGGAGACGGTCAGAGCTCAGATCTGTGCTCAGTGGTACCAGCGAGCACAGATGGTGGTAGGACAGGGTGTGGTGTTCTGGAACTTTCAAAATCCATGGAAGATAACACTCAGAGTCTCTTGTGGGCCTGCCTGCGTATCCCTGACCATGCGTATCCGTCCCTCGGTGCCCTTCACCCAGTCACTGGTGTCCGTTTAGCACGGGAGAACCCTGAGATAAAGCTGATCTGTGGCTGCTCTGAGTCCGGGGCACAGTTGGCCCCTCCCTCAAATGGCATCTGACCAAGCACCCTCTTAGGATGCCGTCGTGGCCTGGACTGGGGTCGCCCCCCTGCTGCTGTAGTGCACGGCGAGTGCTTCCATTGCTCCCCAAGCCTTCTGGAGTTGCCGCTGTTACTGTCTTTGGATTCCGTCTTCCCTTCTCAGGCCACTAGCCAGGGAGAAAGTGCAGGTTGCCCCCTTTCTCTGGCTGTGTTGTGGTCTGTCTCTCCGGTTTCTCTGTAGGCTCTAATTTTCCCTTCAGCTCTTTGCTGGGTCTCAGGGATCCACCTCTCTCCTTCCTCCTCCCTCAAGTTGTTACTCTGCAGTGTCTGTATTCCAATATTTGGAATGCAGAGGTTGATTTGTTGCTTACTACTCTGCCGTCTTCTTGGAAATCTCTCTCTGGCATAGTGATTGTTAAAACCCCAAACCCTTCGACAACAGATTTAACTTCAGAGGCAGCCAGCCATCTACTTTATTTCTGTGTCTGGGAATTTTCTTTATTGTGAAGCCAGCCATGTATGAAAGTATCTTGCCATATTTCATTTCATCTAGTATATTTCAGATGTCTGTGGGGACCCCTGCCTGCCGCGATAGTTATTTTTAGCCTCTTGAGTGTCTCCATTGCTACCTTTCATGAAGCTTTGTTGCTCTTGTCATCCCTCCCCTCCCTGCTGGGCTTGAGCCTGTGTCTCCTGGGTAGGCAAGCGCTTGATAGCTCAGCTGTACTCCCAGCCATTCAGAGTTGTAAGGGGACCGACCGCTGAACACGTAGTGACTGCTTGTGGGCTGTGGGTTATGGCTTGTTTCTTACATTCTCATGTATTTTTCTGTTTCTGCAGAAAAATGTCATAACTTTTTTTTTTAATTTAAAGAGGAGATTGTCCTTAAGAGCCTCCAAATAATATACCTTCTTTTCCATTTGTTGCAGGTGGTGCGGTTGTGTCAGAACCCAAAGCTGGCGCTAAAGAATAGTCCGCCTTATATTTTAGACCTGTTGCCCGACACCTACCAACATCTTCGTACTATCTTGTCAAGATACGAGGGGAAGATGGAGACGCTTGGAGAAAATGAGTATTTCAGGGTGTTCATGGAAAATTTGATGAAGAAAACTAAACAGACCATAAGCCTTTTCAAGGAGGGAAAAGAAAGAATGTATGAAGAGAATTCTCAGCCTAGGTAATGGAGAAATACTACACAAATATTAATTCAGGTCTGTGACTGTCTGAATGAGTAGTACATAGAAACAGTTGGGTTGGATTGTTTTTTTGTTTGTTTGCTTTGTATTTTTAAGACAGGGTCTTGCTACATAGCTCAGGCTGGCCTTGAACTCACTGTGTAGTCCAGGCTGGCCTCAAACTCATGGTAATCCTCCTGCCTCAGCCTGCCAAATGCTGGGATTACAGGTGTGTGCCGCCACACCTGGCCTAGATTGAATTGTATGTTAGCAGGAATGGAGAGTTGAGATTTGGTTTAAAGGTGTGATTTATATAAAAAGTTATCTAGGAGCATGTTAAACCATCGTTGATACATTCATTTACCTCTGAAAAACCAGTCAGCCATGAAAATGATTGTAGTCAAGCTGGGTGCAGTGGTACACACCTGCAATCCCAGTGTTCTGGGAGGCTGAAACAGGAGGATCACCAAGTTTGAGCACAACCTGGGCAACTCAGCAATTTAGGGAGATCCTGTCTCAAAATAAAATATAAAAAAGGACTGTAATGTAGCTCACTGTGGAGTCCTAGGTTCCTTTGTCAGTACCACTGCGGGAGGAAAAGTTTCAGGCAGGAGAACCTTTGGAGCATGAAAGATGTTGAGAGCTTGAAAAAAAGACAGTTTAGGGTAAACTGAGATTGGGAGTAAATAATAGGTCTCATTTAACAGAAGCGTCTTTGCAGATTAAATTATAAACAAATAAATTATAAACAAATATGGGATAATAGGGAAAAAGGCTGGTAGTTTAGATAACCAACAGCGGAGGGGTGTCACTGGAGATTAAAACCAGGGCTCACAAGCTGCCATGTTGTTTTGGTTCATTTTTTTACCCCTCGTCGTGGTTTTGAGACAGGGTCTTGCTAACTCACTCAGGTTGGGCTCCATGTTAAGATACACCCCCACCCCATCTCAGCCTCCCTGGGTGCAGGGATTGCAGGTGTGTGGCACCATGGTGTGCTTGACTACTGTTTTTGTTTTGTAAGTAAAGCGAAATGACATTTCCTTAATAGGCAAGAGTAATTTTAAAACTAGAATAGTAGAAGCAAATGCAGTTAATTCAGTAAACATTTGAGGGATCACACATTTTTTTGTATCAACTGAATACTAAAAACTGGGCTATTTTATATGGTATTAATTTGGTTGTTATCAGTTACATACTGGGGAAAAATAAGGAACAGCCTTTAATACAGTAACATGGGTGTGATTATATTTTTTTTTCTAGTTGGAGATAAGTACTCATCCAGGACAAGTAATTATATATAGATTGCAGGATTTCTTACTGAGTGACTTGGTCTTGAGGAGTGACTTGAATTAGGTGGCATAGGTTATTGTCTTCAGCTCAAGCAATAACGTGCTAAGTGGTGTCCTTGTAATCTGTTATTCCTTTGACTCTGTCGGTTTAGATTTTGGCATCGTTAGGTATTTTGTTTTGTTTTTTCCTTTTTTCTCTTTTTGAGACAGGGTCTCACTGTGTAATTCAGGCTGGCCTTGAACTCACTTTGTAGCCCAGGCTGACCTTTAAGTCGCAGCAGTCTCTTTCTTGCCTCAGCCTCCCGAGTGCTGGGATTACAGGTGTGTGCACCTTGCCTGTCATCTACCTCTATCTTAATTTAAAATTCTCTCAAAATTTTTTTTCTGTGTCATTACTGGTACTATCTTTACTGAAACAAATTCTTCAGGTTTAAAGTTCGTAATATCAGTGTTTTCCTGAAAGTATTCCTGGTGACTAAATTTAATCTGTAGGAACCTTTGTGATTTCTGGTTTATATGCAGATGAGCTTTATTTCTATGAAATTCAAAAGTTTATGACTTTTCTTAAAATGGAATCTTGATGACTGGGAGAATGGCTCAGTTGGGAGAATGCTTCCCAAGCATGTGTGAGACCTTGGATTCGATCCCAGTATTACAAAAAAGGAAAACAGAAAAATGGAAGGAGGAAAAAGGAAAGCAATCTTGACTGTACTTGTAACTATCATTTTGTACTGTATTCCACCTCCTTGAGGGGAGTGGATTGATATTGCAGAGTTTGAAAAATGGAAGATGAAAGGAGAGTGGCCCATTCAAACTCAGTTTAATACCACAAAGCTTTAATAGAGATGTGCACACAATGTGAGAACACGACGTGGTGTGGTGGAATCAGAAGGGGGCATAGGCGAACTAGAGTTTGAAGGGCAAGTCGGAATTTTCTAGGAAGAGAATTCAAGGAATGGCCTTTAACACAGGGCATGAAGATGTAGGCTGTGTTGTGCAGGGAACATTGGAAGTTTGGTTTGGGTTAGCATTGCAGGAGATGGATAAATGGAAATACAGGTTGGAGTCAGATTTGAAAGGGCAGGTCTTCAATCTCCAGATTTCCTCCAGGTGACAGATGGGCTGGCATAGAACACATTAATTTATTTTTATTGTACATTAAATTTTGTTGGTACTTTTTTTTGTTGGTACATTTTAGATACATAGTGATCACATTCATCATAGAGAATTTCTTTCTTTCTTTCTTTTTTTTTTTTTTTTGCAGTACCGGGAATCGAACTCACAACCTTGTGCTTGCCAGGCAGGCGCTTATGCCACTGAGCTAAATCCCCAGCCCTGAGAATTTATTTCTGTACGTGGTATGATTTGTTTTTCTTCCCTCTCTCCTAACCAAAGAATGTTTTTTTCCCCCCAAATCAATTTTATTTCAAGGAAAAAAAAAACCTAAAAATTTCAAAACATGTCAATGGGGGCAGGCAACAGTGGTACATATATTGCACATTGTCATCCTCAAATCATTCACCCAGAGCACAGGACACCTACATTCAATTGTGCGAGCAATACCAGCACAAATCTTACTGTTAATTGAACTCAGAGAAATCAGTAGCATAACTATCTTTTACTACTTTTTATATATATACATAAATATTATATCTACATATACATATGTTACTTTCTGCTTCTCACACTAGTGAGACAATATGATATTTACATGTGTGTCTTATTTATTTCACTAATGATCTCAAGTTGCATCCATTTAGCTATCATTCTTTATGACTCTGTAGTACTGCATTGTATAAAGTTGCCACATCTTTTTTATCCATTCCTCCGTGGATGACCATTTAGGTTGTTTCCAGGATCTATTACAAATTGTGCTTCTATAGCCATGGTTGCACATATATTGCTTTGGTAGGATGCTTTAAATTTTTTTGGGAAGATACCCAGAAGGGGAATAGCTGGGTCAAATGGAACCTCCAATCCTCATTTTTTGAGGAATCTCTGATTTCCAGAGTAGTTGCTCCAGTCTGCATTCCCACGAACAATGCAGAAGGGTCCCTTTTTCTCCACAGCTCCTCCAGCGTTTGGTATTAGTTGATTTCTTGATGAAAACCATTGTTTCTGGGGTGAAGTGGAATCTCAGTGTTGTTTTAATTTGCATCTCTCAAATGACCAGTGATGTTGAACATTTTTTTCGTTAACTTATTTGCTGTTTGTATTTCTTTTTTTTTTTTTTTTTTTTTTGTCTTTTTCTTTTTTATCGGTACCGGGGATCAAACTCACAACTGCCTGCTTGCAAGGCAGGCGCTTATGCTGCTGAGTAAACCTCCAGCCCTGTTTGTATTTCTTCATCTGAGAAGTGTGTGTTCTCAGATGCCCAATTTTGGATTGAGTCTTTAAATCTGGGATGACTGATTTTTTTGAATTCTTTATATGTTCTCGGTAGTAATCCTTTGTCTGAGGTACAGCTGGCAAATATTTTCTCCCATCCTGTGGGTTTTCTCTTCACTCTGTGGTGGTTTCTCTTACTGTGCAAAAGCTTTTCAGTAGGGTGAGAACCCATTTGTTGATTCTTTGCGAGAGCAATGGGGGTTTTGTTCATAAAGTCTTTGCCTACACCTGTCTTCAAGAGTTTTACCTACTCTGTCTTCCAGCAGATTTAATGTTTCTGTTTTTAATATTAAGATCTTTGATCCATTCTTATTTTAGCTTAGTGCCTGGTGAAAGAGATACGGTCCAGTTTTAATCTTTAGCATGTTTAGAGCCAGTTTTTCCAGCACCATTCTTTGTAGAGACTTTCTTTCAGTGAATGTATTTGGCACCTTTGTCAAAGATAAGGTAGTTTAGTGTGTCTGGAGTTGTTTCTGCATCTTCTCTTAACTGTTCAGTGATCTCTGAGGTTTTTTTTTTTTTTTTTTTGCCAGTACCACACTGTTTTTATCACAGTAGCTTTAGAGTATAATTTCAAGTCAGGGATTGTGATGCCTTGGCCTTGTCTTGGTTGCCCAGGATTAGCCTTTGCTATTCCAGCTCTCTTCTTGTTCCAGATGAACTTTAGAATTGTTTTCTCTAATTCGGTGAGGTGTGCCATCGGAATTTGATTGGAAATACATTGAGTCTGTATAACAGTTTTGGAAATATTGGTTCTTCCTATCCAAGAGCATGGGATTCTCTCTCCATTTTCTAATATCCTCTTCAATCTCCTTTTTCAGACTAGTATAGTTTTCAATGTAGAAGTGTGTTACATCCTTTGTTAGATTGATTCATAAGTATTTCTGGGTTTTTGTTTGTTTTTTTGGTACTGGAGATTGAACTCCTGACCTCACATTTACCAAGCAGGCCCTTACGCTGCTGAGCTAACTCCTCGGCTTGGTATTTCCTTTTTTTGGGATGGTGTTGTAAAAGGAGTTATTTCCCTGGTTTTTCTTTAGTGAGTTTGTTACTTGTGTACAAGAAGGCTTTTTTGAGTGTTGATTTTGTATCCAGCTACATTACTGAATTTGCTTATTAAATCTAGTAGTTTTTTGGTGGGTTTTTTGGGGGTCTTCTAAGTAGAATATCATGTCATCTACAAATAATGATTGTTTAATTTCATCCTTTCTTATCTTTTTTTTTTTTTAATCGGTACCGGTGATCAAACTCATGACCACATGCTTGCAAGGCAGGTGCTTATGCCGCTGAGCTAAGTCCCCAGCCCCTATCCTTTCTTATCTTTA